TCAGAGAAAGGAAAATGGGGATATATATATATATATATATATAACTATCAAAATTTACATGCTTGATTTATAGGAAATCGTAATTTGGTAATTGAATAAATAAAATTTAAATTTTATAAAAATAATGTAATGTTGTGTTAACAAATTAATACATACTCTAATAATATAGTTTGCACTGTTATTTTTTTAATTTATTTATAAACGTTTAACCAATAAATTTGTTATACGAAATTAATATAATAATTATTATTGATATTATTTAAATAAGGTCATCTCTTTTCTATTCAAAATTTATTCTAAATAAATAAAATTATTCAAAATTCAATCTTTTAAAATTATTCTTAAAGTATAAAAAAAAATTCAATCAGGTTATGTTACAATATTTAATTGGTCCAAATCAATTAAGAGTATTTAAATATTAATTGATAGAATTAGAATTTTAATAAATAAATAAACGCTGTGATATAAACATACGACTTTTATTAATTTTATATATATAAAAAAGAACATAAATGTCAAGTTTTCAATACATGGCTTTTGTTATATTTTAAAATAAAAAAATCAAAAAACACAACTTTCATTTTTATTTTTTAAAAAAAATCAAATGTTGTAGATAATAAACACAGCTTCTAAGAATTAAATAAAAAATATTAAATCAAAAGTTGTTTTTAAAAATATGACATTCCTATTATATGTTGTATTCCCAAATCACAATTCATAAATCACCCATGTGTTAAAGGCAGGACCAAAAAAAATGTTAAAAATCAGGGGGAAAAAACCCATTCGCCAAAGGCCCAAAATTCAAATCATGATAAAAAAAAATGAAATTTCAGTTTGAAATTCTTAGGCTTACACTAGCCGCTAGAAAGCTAGAAAATACTCCTTCTCGACCCTTTTTTGAAGTTTAAAACTTAAACTCTACTTCTCTCTCTTTTGCGTCTTTAACTTTTGCAGCGATGTCACTAAGCTTTATCTCTCATATCTGTTGCGTGTTTCAGTAATCTAACTTAACTAATTGTTACCGGGCTGCCTGGGCAAATCATTCATATTTATATCTTGCGGTGTTTTGTTCTAAATAAGCTTTTTCTCGTAGTTTTTTTTTAATAAGCACAGAAAAGATATATTAAAAAAAATATAAGGAATATTCTAATCCATAATATAAAATAAAAATAAAAATTAACTTCAAAATCTTACAAATAGATATACCAAACTAGCATAATTATCATCTACCCAATGAAGCTTTTTCTCGTAGTTACAATTACAACTACAAAAACCACCTGAATCTAGATGAAAGATCATGATGACCTTTCCAAATCGAATTCCCTTTCTTACTCTAAAAAGTTTGTATATTATGCACGGATTCAAACAAACTTATAATACATAACAAATGGCTGAATCGTCTTACTTAGGCTTAACAAGTAATTATGTAATATACTTAAATTTAATGAAAGACTAAGTATTTTTAATTAGACTTAACATATGGTTAAATAACAACTTAAATTTATCAAAATATGCACATCACACATAATTATTCCCATACACATATAGGCTTTCGAGTTCTCAATCTCATTAATATTCTATAATTATTAATAGATATCTATTATATTATTTTATTTTCAAAATGAACTTACATCACTCTTTCACATGAATCCTAAGGCATTTTTGTATGAATTCAAAACTTTGTTACACTAATTGCTTAAGTAACAATGGTTCTTTATAATTAAGCATAAGCGTACTATCTCTCAAGCATAGTCATGTTTGATTTGACACATATTTACTCAACTTTTTAGCCCAAATGTGTTATAATTAACATAGTTATATTTGGACTTTCACCTTTCTACTTTGAAAAAGGAGCATAGCTACCACTTCACCTAGAATGATCGTGTCTAGCTCAACTTAATCATGCTCAATTAATGTGAGCATGACCATGTTTTGTTTTAGTATGTTTGT